GTGCAGATTACAGTCTGCATATGACGGGTGTGTGTATGGGGGGTGGGGGTAGGAGAGACTGAGGGGCGGGGCCTTGCCGGCACCTGCAGGAATGGATGGGGCAGGAAGTGGTGGTGCACCGGGGAATTGGATGCTTTCATTCCTTTGTTTTTTGTTTATGTTTTCCTTTTTCTTTTTTTCCTGAGACAGAATCTCTTGTATCCTATGTTGGTCTTGAATTTGTCCTATAGCCAAGGCTTTAAACTTCTGAACCTTCTGCCTCCACCTCTCAAAGGCTGGAATTGCATAATAAGCTACCACACTTATTTCTGTGTTGTGTGTTGCTGTATGTGTGGTGTGGATGTGTATTGTGTGTATGGGTGGTATATGTGTTGTGTATTCGTGATGTATCTGGTGTGTGTTGTGTATGTATATGGTGTGTGGGATGAAGCTCAGTTGTTGGAGGAAGCTTTGGAGAGAGTATTGTCTCCTGTCCATAGCTCTGACTGGCTTGCCTGAGTAAAAATTCCAAACCCTAATTCTCTGTCTTCTTACATCCCATGATTCAGGGGTCTAGGGCACCCCAAGTCTCTGTCTTCTTACGTCCCATGGTTCAGGGGTCTAGGGCACCCCAAGTCTCTGCTTCTTACATCCCATGGTTCAGGGGTCTAGGGCAGTAGGTTCCCTTGCTGCCTGATCTCTCATTTATTTTATTTTATTTTTGTATAAGTTCACATTTGCTATGTGTGTGTGTAGGCTAGAGGTCAGTCTCAGGTGTTGTCCCTAAGGATGTGCCCACATAGATTTTCTTTTTTCAAGATTATTTGTGTGTGTGTGTGTGTGTGTATCTCACATGTGTGCGTACCCACAGTGGCCAGAAGAGTGTGTCAGATAGCCTGGAGATGGAGTTACCTGTTGTTGCGGGAGGCTACTTATTGGTTTCCAGGTGCCCGGCTAGCTTAGACCTGAAATAATCACACAGAAACTGTATTAGTCAAATCACTGCTTGGCCCATTAGCTCTAGCTTCTTATTGGATAACTCTTGTATTAATTCAACCCATTTCTATTCATCTGTATAGTGCCATGTGGCTGTGGCTCACTGGGTAAAGTTCCCAGCATCTGTCTCCAGGGGCTCCGTGTCTTCTCTCTAACTCTGCCTTCCTCCTCCCATGCAATAGGCCAAGCCAGTTTCTTTATTCATTAACCAATAAAAGCAACATATAGACAGAAGGATCTCCCACACCAACCTGCGGTTGTGAGCAGCCTGATATGGTGCTGGGAACTGAGCTCTGGTTCTCTACAAAAGGATCAAGTGCTTTTAACTGGTGAGATATGGCTCTAGTCACACCTAGATTTTTGTATATAGAGTCTCTCACTGGCTTAAAACTTGGTAATTTGGCTAGGCATACCGTGTGTGTGTGTGTGTGTGTGTGTGTGTGTGTTTACATGTGTGAGTGTTGGTGCATGCATGTAATGGCACATTGTGGAGCTCAGAGAACAACCTTGGGCATTGGTCTTTGACTTTCAGCTTGATACCAGGGCCTCTTACATCCACCACTGCATATAGCACCTTGTTATTCTCCCCTGCATACATTAGGTTCATTGGCCTTCCAGTCTTCACCTCCTACCTTATGGTATGAATTGTAGCATGATTAATAAAAGCCTGAATTAATAAAAGGCTGAAGACCCAGCCACTGGCTCTTACCTCTATCTCAGTCCGAAATGGCATTCCTGCTTCCAGGAATCTCAGAATGAGACTGTTTGTTCTCCTCCTGCTTTATAATCCCCTCTAGGGCTGGGATTAAAGGCGTGCACCACTACTGCTATGTTTCTGTGGCAAACTAGTGTGGCTACTGGGATTAAAGGTGTGTGCCACCTCTGCCTGGTCTGTGAGTCTGACCAGTGGGGCTGTTTTACTCTCTGATCTTCAGGCAAGCTTTGTTTATTAAAATACAAGTGAAATGTCACTACAGTGAGCACTGGGGTTACAGGCATGCACTATTACATCTGCCTTTGCATGCGTGCCGGGGATCTGACTCAGTGGAGTGAGTGCTTTTCTCACTGAGTCATCTCCTCGCTCAACACCACCTGATTCAGGATCCTGAACGCTGCTTCTGACGCTTGGACAGCCAATACGTCACCTACGGCTATTTCACTAATCTATTGCTGTTTTCTTTTAGAATATCCAAAAGTATGTGGGTTTCTCACAGTTTTACTCTTTACAGGTGAAGGAATAGATAAAACGGGTTTCCAGGTCACAGAGTCATTAAGGAACAAGAGGGATAATGCCACTGCTTTTCTCTAGCCGTGGCTTCCTGCATTTAAAATGGCTGCAGTAGAGATCTCTGCTGCCCAAGGCTGGAGGAAGCATGTGGGTATGGCACCTGTGAGTGTCATGACTACAAAATAGGATCGAGGGACAAGGTGGCGACAGGTGGTGTTGTGATTTCTGGGAGTCCTGAAGTCTCTGCTGGTGATGATAGGGACACTCTGTTGCCATGTATTGCTTTGAGATTAAGAGAAGAGGATTCTGTGAGATACAGTAACCACATGGATTCTTGGGATAAAGCAACAGGAAACATTTCCGATGTGCTGGTGAGAAAGATCTGGGATTGCAGCATAGACTCTCAGACTGAAATGAACTCAGATACTACCAGTACCAGGACTGTGGAAGGGACACGTTGTGTCCAACCATGGATCTACTCTGAGGAGTGCTGTCTGCAGGAGACTAACTTAAGTCATACAGTTGGCAGACTGCACTGGAGTTATTTATGGGACCAGTCAGTGTTAATGGGACTCAGGGGCAGCTTGCTATGTCTTAGGCATCTTTGCTGTTTTTTATGACAGGGTTTCTCTGTGTAGCCAGGAGCCTGTTCTGGCACTCACTCTTTAGACCAGGCTGGCCTTGAATTCAGCAGAGGTCTGCCTGCCTCTGGCTGGGCACTGCCTGGCAAATCTTTTCTCCCCCATTTTATTCCAAGACAGGGTTTCTCTGTGAAATGATCCTGACTGCCCTGGAACTTGACTTATAGACCAGGGTGGCTTCGAACCTGTAGAGAGCCTATAACCTCTGCTTCCCCAGTGTTGGGATTAAAGGACAGTGCCACACCTAGCTGGGGATTCCCCCCCCCCCTTTTAAAAAGCAGGTTGTGGTACATATCTTTAATGGTAGGCAGAGACAGGTGGATCTCTGTGAGTTCGAGGTCAACCTAGTCTACAGATTGAGTTCCAGGACAGGTACCAAAGCTACAAAGAAACCTTGTCTGGAAAAACAAACAAACAAACAAAACCCCCAAAAACAAAAACAAAGAAAAAAGAAAAAAGACAGGGTCTTACTCTTTACTCTGAGCATCTTCACAGCTAATTTTATTCTTTCTGTAATCTCCTTTAACATTACCTTACAGTTTAGGATCCTTAGGCTGAGGTCACACCTCTTGAAATTGGTAACACTGACTCCAACAGAGTTTCCTCCAACACCAAAGCTGAGGGCAGACGGGAGATGGGCCCCTCTGACCGCCTGAACTGTAGCTAAAGGTTAAGAGTGTCTCAATAGCAGCCTGGCTCCTCAAGGCTGACACCGCATGTCACATGTAGTTTATATTCCCCATTGCACCAGCACAGTTTCCAGGATTTGTCAATAAACGAGATTTACTGAATTGAAACAGAGACGTAATGCACAAAGTTTGCTTCAGTGAGCAGACACCGCAGTTTCAGTCGTTTGCACATGAAGCTGTAGCGAAATAAGAATAAACTGCCCAGAAAAAGGTAGATCAGACAAAAAATTCATAATCGATGAAATCTTTCCCCTTTAAAAGATAAAAATATTAAAAAGAAAACTCCAACAGTCTTATGTGTCTACTATCAATGGTTTTTTTTTTTTTTGAGACTTTTTTTTTTTCAAACTACCTTTTATAATCGGGACGAAACAGAGTGGTCTCTTTAACATAAAGGAACATAGCTTTGTTTGTAGTAGCGGAAGCTTTTAAAGATAACTGAACGGACATAGTTTCAATCGCAGGATTGATTTTTGTAACACAAGTCCACTGCGCTAGCAGGGATCAACTAAGGAGAAAGGACGTGGTAACCCCGGTAACGAAGTGGGGGGAGGGGAGGACGAAACTCTGAACTCCCCGCTTTCCCTTGGGTAGAGCGGAGAGAACGCTTGAAGAAGTTTGGTTTATTGGACTCGCCGTAGACAGCGGTGCATGCTGGGCCTTGGCAATATGGCGTCCTCCTTGACGCGCTGATGAGAGGAGTTTCACTGTTGCTCCAAAGCAGAGGGCAAAACTCCCCTGACCTAATAAACCCAGTTTTCCCGTGTGGACCGCAGGCCCGTGTCGCGCGTGTCTCGGGACTCGTTCCCGGGCGGGAGAGATCCACGAAGCCGAGGACCAGGACCGGCCAGGCCGCGCGGACCCGGGGCTGAGGAGCCGGCTGCGGACGGGCATGATGGGCCGGTCCTGGCTAAGGTTGCAGCCCCTCAGGCGAGTGCGGGATCCACAGGGCTGAGAGCCGGTGGACGAGCCCCGAAGTCCCCCAGACTCGACCCCCCGAGGCCTCAGCCGGGCCAGCGCAGTCGGAGAACCCGCGCCGCGAGCGCCCGGTGGCGGCGTTGGAGGCCGAGAGCAGGGTCACCCCAGGCCTGAAGTCGCTCCCGCCGTGACAGTCCGGCTCCGAGCCCTTCCGGAAACCCACGGCCTCTGGAGCTGCGGCTGGCTTGGGACTGGGGCGCGCGTGTGACCGCGCAGCTCTCGGGCTGCGGGGTGGGTGACCACCGGCCCTGCACCCCCACCCCGCCCCCTGCGACTTCCCGCTCAGAGTTGGAGATAAAGATCCCCGAGTGTTATTTTGCCTGGATAGGATCTTCGAACACTCTCCCACCATTTCCTTCCCCAACTCCTCGTTTCCCTGTATTTTATTTCACCAGTTCTGGTACACACTAGTTTTTAAGGCTGGAGGTTCTTGAGCGCTTGCTGCCAAGGACTCCCCCTCCCCCTCCCCTCCTGATGGAGTCGGAGATGCTGCAATCGCCTCTTATGGGACTCGGGGAGGAAGATGAGGCCGACCTTACAGATTGGAACCTGCCTTTGGCTTTTATGAAAAAAAGACATTGTGAGAAAATTGAAGGCTCCAAATCTTTAGCGCAGAGCTGGAGGATGAAGGATCGGGTGAGTGGATTCCCGTGGCATCTTTTGGACTTGGTAGTTTTTCCAACTAAGAAAGTTTCTGAGCAAGAAAAGCTTTGAGAAAATGCTGGTACCTCGAAGCCACATGTTGGGTTAACTAAAACCCCAAAACTATTCCAGACTCCGGTTTTGCTTGAAAATAGATATGGCTAGTATGGCTAGACGTTACTCACGCGGTGTCGTTAGTTCAAACGAAGTTTTAATTTAGGAAAAAAAAGCAGATTAGGAACAATTGTACTACACATGCTTATGCTTAGAAGCACTTAGAGGAAAGACAATTTGGGAAATAATACTTGAACCCATGCGCTTAGTAATCTCATTTTTAAAATAACCAGGCTGTTTGAAGTAGTGTGCTGGGAAGCAAGGTTGCTGGAAATGTTTAACTGATAACAAATTCAGCAAAGTTATTTGAAAGTTGCAGCAGGCTTCATCCCAGTTCTATAAGGAATTTGTCTGGAAGGGGGACTTCCCCCCAAGTATGTGAATTCTTGTTGCTGTAACTTGGAGACGGAATATCTTCAGTGGAAATTACGGCGTTTGGTGTATGAGAGGTGGGAACTTGGGTTCAGGTTTTAGACAGTTCTCATGGTGTTGGGGTGTTATGAGCTGTTAGTATCAGAGAAGACAGCCAGCCCAGAGAAGCTTTCCCTCCAGTCTTTTTCCTGGTCTAACAAAAGGGTGGTTTTGTCTGTGTGCACTCACTTTTTTTTTTTTTTAAAGTGTACTCCTTCCAGGTTTCTTTCATTCATGTGAACTTTTCAGTATAAAAGAGGAAATTGGTGTTATAACGTCCCATCTGTTTGTGGTGTCTGTGTATGTTTACGGGAGGCCGCTGTTTTAAAAAGGTGTGTGCTGTTGAACACTCAACACAGTTCTAGCAGTGACCAGTGTTTCAGTTGTTGATTTGGCCGAATTTTAGGAGGATATAAAAATTCAATCAAAAACAGTTTAGGTTGGGCATAGTAAGACATATCCATATTCCCAGCACTCTGCAGGCTGAGGCAGGAGGATCACAGTTCCAGGGCAGCCTGCACTACAGAGTGTAAATCCTGTCTCAAACAGGAAAACTAAAAGTAGTATAAGTTATAAAACTGATGGTGAGAGAGACTGCATAAAGTCTGTTTTATGGACATTTCTAGTACTAACAAAATAAAAATTTTTTGGTTGCAATGTATATATAAAAATAAATTTGCTTTAAGCAACTCTTTTTTTCCCCCATTCTAGTTGGTGGAGTTCTTTCTCATTGAAAAAATTTTTTTTCTGTTCTTTTGAAAAGTGGTTTCTTTGATCACATAAACATGCACTAAAAATGTCTGAAACACATTAATGGGTGTCTTTTGACAATTTATTTTTGGGGTGCTGGGTATTGAATCCTGGTCCTCTGGATGGGCTGCCAGTGCTCCTTTCTGCTGAGCCATCTCTTCAGCCCCCATGAAAACTTTAATTTATTTTCCAAGACAGGATTTTGATGTGTGTGTAACTTTGACTGTCTGGAACTCGCTCTGTAGACCAGGCTTGCCTTGAACTCACAGAGATCCACCTGCCTCTGCCTCCTAAGTGCTGGGATTAAAAGGTGTGTGCCACCGCTGTTTCCCGGCTACACTATTAATTTAATGTTGACATTGCTTTGTAGTCTAGGCTGGCTTGCGATGTAGTCAGGAATGACCTTGACTTTCTGATCTAGGGGTTACAGGTGTGCACCATCATGTCCAGTTTTATGTGGTGCTAGGGAGTTTTGTGCTTGCTCAACAACACTCTACAGAGTGTGTTACATCTCCAACTCTATTGTTGAAGTGTGTGTGTGTGTTGTTTTGCTGGGTGGTGTAGTAAGAAGGATCGCTTGTTGGTTCCTAGCTGCTCAGCTAGCTTAGACCTGAAATAATCACACAGAAATTATATTATTCAAAACACTGCTTGGCCCATTAGCTCTAGCTTCTTATTGGCTAACTGTTACATCTTAATTTAACCCATCTCCATTTATCTATATATTGCAACATGGCAGTGGCTTACCAGCAAAGTTTGGGCATGTCTGACTGGCCGCAGCTCCATGTCCTCTCTCTCCGACTCCGCCTTTCTTCCTCCCAGTATTCAGCCCAGCCTTCTCCACCTGCCTAAGTTCTGCCTTGCTATTGGTCCAAAGCAGTTTCTTTATTCATTAACCAATAAAAGCAAGACATAGAAGGAACTCCCATACCAGAGTGGTGCCCTTTAATCCCAGCACCCAGGAGCCAGTGGAAGGCTGATCTCTGAGTTCGAGGCCAGCCTGGTTTACTGAGAAACCCTGTCTGGGGTGGGGGGTAAGGGGAATGTAAGTTTTTAGTAACTCCTGAGTTTCTATGTAGAAGATCAGGGAAGAAAATTTGCTGCCTCTGGCCTTTTCACATTGTTCAGTGAAGAGGAAAATCATCACCTAATGTTTTCAGTCAGTTTGAGAGACTTTGGCGCCACAGGGTCTCCCTGAGTAGAGGCTACAAAATCAAATGATCACAAGATTGGAAGGTGGAAGCCAGGCGATGGTTGCACAAGTCTTTAACCCAGCATGCAGGAGGCAGAGGTAGACAGAGCTCTGTGAGTTCGAGGCCAGCCTGGTCTACAAAGCCAGTTTCAGGACAGCCAGGGCTGTTACATAGAGAAACCCTGTCTGTGCTGAAAGGTGACACGAATGAATGAATCTGGCCAGGTTTCAGAAGCGTGGGTCAGGCTCCGAGATGAGTGCAGCAGGTTGTCTGATGTAGCGTCTGCTAGCTTTTCCTGAGGGGCGTGGAGGTCACAGTAGATGAGGCATTTGGGCCTTAGTGAGCTCTTGTGCGTGCTTTCTTTGGGAAGCCAGAAAGTTCTTTTCTTTTTTTTCTTTTCTTGACGGTCCTTGTTTTTTTTTTTTTTTTTTTTTTTTTTTTTGGTTTTTCGAGACAGGGTTTCTCTTTGGCTTTGGAGCCTGTCCTGGAACTAGCTCTGTAGACCAGGCTGGTCTCGAACTTACAAAGATCCGCCTGCCTCTGCCTCCCGAGTGCTGGGATTAAAGGC